CAAACGAATCTGAAATTTCGTAATATTTGTAATCAATTATTTTGTTAAATAAATCTATACTAATTTTATTAATTACGTAATATTTTGTAATCGATTATTTTGTAATAGCTTTATATACACATAGCGGGGTTACTATCCTAATATTCTACTATGTTCTCACAAATCTATCTTAATTCTTAAAATTCTATTATATTTATCTTTATTTTATTTAATTAGGCATAAATAAAATCAGATTTATAAAAATTACATTGCAATCATAAAACACTGTTTAAAAACCAAATTAATAGTTTAAACAACACATTTTATGGATTGGACAGCATACTATAAATTAATAATTTAGCATAATCCACCGTTAGAAGCTAAACGTAATCAAAACCACTTCTGAATATTTAAATTTAAAAGATATGCAGAACAGGATTTTAAACAAAGGGTAGTGGACTAGTGGTTCATTTGCTAAAGAGTTGTTTTGTTGGTCTAGATCACAGATCCATTTTTCTTAAGCATAATAATCGTTTAGCCAATTAAAATGGTGCTATGTTTCAAATTTACAAAAGAAATTCTGGTGAATAGACTATTTGACGGCTATGTTCATAAAAAAAAATTAGTTGGATGGTAAGAAATCTGAATTATTACTTCTTTTTTTTTGAAATGAATGTAAAATTAATATTCAAACAGAAATGTTTTTACAATAATTGTTATATAAATACGCTGAATCATTACTTAGTTATAAAACAAAACAAAAAAATGCTGACAGGCTTGAACTTTTGCGGAACCAACTTTTTTTATCTTTTATCTTTGGGTAATAAAGAAGACTTGGGGGTGTTTGGCAACACTTTTTTTAAGTTTTAAAAAAATAAAATTTATTAAAGACAATTTTTTTGCTAAGCATAATTTATTGTCTTTAATTTTTCTAAAGACTCTAAATCAATACAAAAAAAGAGGTGTGTAACATCATTTATTTTGTTTGTTTAAATCAGTTACAAATGATGCAAAAAATATTTACATCATTTATATGAGTGACTCTAAAAATGGTGATGCAAATATTTAACATCAGTTACAAAGACCGATGCAAATATTTTCATCAGTTATAATAATCGATGTTAATTTTTGCATCAACTAATATAAATGATGTTAATATTTACTTCAGTTATAACAATTGATGCTAAGTATTTGGATCAGTTTTTAAACTGATGTTATAATTTCATTAATCATAAATACAACTGTTAAAGTATCACAATTGTGTAAAAATCAATATTCATTTTATAAATTATTTTAATTAAAAATCACTTAAAAGTTTAAAAATCTACCAAGGGCACGTAAACTAAACTAAAAAACTTTCAAAGAAATCTAAATCAATCTCTAATTATAGAATTTTGATTTTAGTTTGCCATTAAATTGAAGATAAGTGTAGATTATATATACTAACTATTTTCTCTTCGCCTCTTTTCTTGATTGTCAATGTGGGAGATTGGTGAAAAGGTAACTAAAACAGTATTAATTAATTAAATTTTATTGGCATCAGTTTTATCTTAATATAAAATTTGTATCTTTTATTTAAGTGATATTATTAAATTTAGTAGTTGCATCAGTTATTTAACCAATGTGAATTCATACTTTTGCATCAATTTTTTTAAAAGTGATGCAAATTAATACAAACTTGTATCAACTTTGATTAATCGATACTAATCAAATCAAAAACAATATCATTTATTATAATTGATGTTAAACAACAAATTTTATATTATTTGTTAATAAATGATTTTAATTAGTGTCATTTCGTTTTTTGATACTACTTAAGTGATGTAATATATTTTTTTTTTGTAGTGAAAACTTGTCTTTTAATTTTTTTGTCTTGTTTTCTAAAGCCTCGTGTGAGTGGCTTTAGCTTTGATTAAATAAATAATTTATTCTATCTCTTTTTTCCTTATATTATGTAAAGCTCTTTTTAAATTTATTATAAATAAAAAACTTCAATTGCTTCATTATTATGGGGATGATTGGCAGACGTCCTGTTTTTTTAGCCAAAGGCTTTTAAAGCTTTTTTCAATTTTAAAGTTCTCACAGCCCATTTTCTTTATTTTCTTCTTCCGATTCATTTTCTTTTAAAGTCTGCTAAACCTGACTTTAAAACAAATAAAAAATTAAAGTTTTATTTCTTCTTCTCCCCTGAGTAATTAAATCTACACGTATCTTATGACAAATAATTTTTTATGGATTAACCATTACTTTTGTTTTCTCTTTCTTTTAAGATTCATTTCTCTAATAACAAATCTGAGACTCTAATATGGCTGGAGTTTTTAAGGATAAAGCATGACGATGAATATTTTTTTNTTTTTGTAGTTTTCTGGAAATGAGTGTTTTCATGTTAGGATTGTTGTTTTTGTCTCAGAATTGTTTGTTAAGAAACTGTATTTTTTTTTATTGTGGGTACTTTTTCTTTATACCTAGGATCATATGTGACTGTGACTGTAGACTTTTGGCTGTAGAGAAAATGATTGTATGAACTGTGGCTGTTACTTTTATATATTAACAAAGTCTGATTGGTAATGAAAACTGTAGAAACTGTTGTTGTTACTTGAAATATTATAATTTATATTAAAATGTAAATTATGAAAAATTAGCAATAGTTATTACATAGATGCGAAGCTCAAACAAACAACT